CTCTCTACTATAAATAGTAAAGAAATTATTGCCAACTAATATATATAGAAAAATTAGCTGGCATGGTGGTACATGCCTGTAGTCCCAGCTACTAGGGAGGCTGAGGCAGAGGATTGCTTGAGCCCAGGTGTTGGAGGTTGCTGTGAGTTAGGTTGACACCATGGCACTCACTCTAGCCTGGCACAAAGTGAGACTCTGTCTCCAAAAAAAAAAAGAAAAAAAAAAGAAGAAAAAGAATGTGCTCCTCAGTGAGTGTGGCTGTCTGTGATGTAGATTCGGTGGTTAAGGCCTTTAACCAGCCATTATAAACCCCCAAGTAAGTACCAGCAGAGAGCCTCATTGTGTGTTTTTTGTTTTGTTTTATTGTTGTTTTTTTTTTATTGAGACAGAGTTGCTTTGTGCCCAGGCTAGAGTGAGTGCCATGGCATCAGCCTAGTCACAGCAACCTCAAACTCTGGGCTCAAGCAATCCTGCTGCCTCAGCATCCCGAGTAGCTGGACTACAGGCACGTGCCACAATGCTCGCTAATTTTCTATATATATTAGTTGCCAATTAATTTCTTTCTATTTTATAGAGACGGGTCTCGCTCTTGCTCAGGCTGGTCTCAAACACCTCGAGCGATCCTCCCGCCTCGGCCTCTGAGAGTGCTAGGATTACAGGCATGAGCCACCGCGCCCGGCCCATCATGTGTGTTACAATAAAGAAGTGAGCAGTGTCATTAAGGAATCCTCAAACTTGCAGTTTTAGACTGAAAGCCAAGTCTACATGTATTAAAACACTGTATGTATTAAATGTGGTAATTGTCCCCCAGGCTGTTAGAACCATTTGTTTACTGGCAGAGAACAATGACTGATATGTCTGACAAAATGATTTCCCTAAAAACCCCACAAATCCACCTGAAGTTCTAGTCCTGGGTAAAGCAGAGACAGTAAAATACCTTATGGCAAGTATTAAGGACAGTATCAGCTGGGCGCGGTGGCTCACGCTTGTAATCCTGGCACTCTGGGAGGCGGAGGCGGGTGGATTGCTCGAGGTCAGGAGTTCAAAACCAGCCTGAGTAAGAGCGAGACCCCCGTCTCTACTATAAATGGAAAGAAATTAATTGGCCACTATATATATAGAAAAATTAGCTGTGGCATAGTGGCGCATGCCTATAGTCCAGCTACTTGGGAGCTGAGGCAGGAGGATTATGAGCCCAGGAGTTTGAAGTTGCTGTGAGCTAGGTCGATGCCACGGCACTCACTCTAGCCTGGGCAACAAATGGAGACTCTATGTCAAAAAAAGGAACAGTATCACCCCTCAGGAGAACTGGACACTACATCCAGGTCCTCCATTTCTCTTCCATTCGAACAGCAAGGAAAGCCAGTCAAGAGCCTCCAGGAAGCAGCCTTTCTAATATTCTGTTAACTCCCTTTAGGCTCTGCATTACCTGCATATGGCGGTCAAATGCCTCAGTGTGCCTGTCTCACCATTTGTCTCCTAACTGACTTTATTTCCCAACACTCCCAGATCTTGAGCCCTTGTGCTTGGTGTTGCCTACAATCTCCATGGCCTCCCCTCCCCTTAAACCTTTGCACATGTATTTAAATTCCTCCATGGCAGTGATTAGTTTGCAGCTGCATTATTTGCTTTTTCACCTCTCACCCCACTAGACTGTAAGGTCTTCCAAGCAGGAACCATGACCTATTCATATTTATTTGTATATACTTGGGAAATAGAGATCAAGAATTATTTGTTGAATGAATGGATGGATGGAAGAATGAATGTTTGCATGGAAGAATGAATGCTTGCATGGAAGAATGAATGCTTGCTTCAAAGTGGCCATTTAAAATGCAGATTCTAGGTCAGGCGAGGTGGCTCATGCCTGTAATCCTAGCACTCTGGGAGGCTGAGGCGGGTGGATCGCTCAAGGTCTGGAGTTCAAAACCAGCCTGAGCAAGAGCGAGACCCCCATCTCTACTATAAATAGAAAGAAATTAATTGGCCAACTAATATATATATAGAAAGAAATAAGCCAGGCATCGTGGCGCATGCCTGTAGACCCAGCTACTTAAGAGGCTGAGGCAGGAGGATCGCTTGAGCCCAGGAGTTTGAGGTTGCTGTGAACTAGGCTGACGCCATGGCACTCTAGCTAGGGCAACAGAGTGAGACTCTGTCTCAAAAAAAAAAAAAAAAAAAAAAGGTAAGTTTGTCTAATTTCTTTTCTATTTAATTGGCTACTCGTTTGGTTGAATCACATAATCCCAACAGGTATTTGGGTGTCAAATACATGTTGCCTAAGTCACATGCTTTTGAGTTAGGAAAAAACAGTTTCACTTAAATTAAAAACATTTAGTTAATACTTTGCAAATTTCTGGAAATCAGTTCACTTGAAACATATCTGGATGTGTAATGGTTTTCAAATTTTGCATTTTAGTAGTAATATCCGCCACTACCCTGATGTACCACACACACACACACTGAACATTTTATGATTTTATATTAATACTTTAAAAAACTTAAAAGTATTCCTTAGAGATTAGCAGTGTTGAAATGATCTATCTATTATGCAAAATCAATTGACAAAAAAATTGAATGTCTTTCAAAGGGAAAAACATCCTCTGAATTATAAAAGGAACACCTTTAATTTTTGTTGAAATCTGGTTCTGTTCTTAGTTTTTTGTGTTTTGCTCTTCAATAAAGCTTGGTTTTCCTTTTTGTTTATTCAGTCTTGCCAGACCAAATCATTTTCATCAAGAGTTATGGTCACAGTTGAAGCTTGGGAGCAGTTAAGAAAGAACAGATTATTATAACATAAAAGTACCATCTATTTCCCTAATGCCTGTTTGTGAACCAATGCTATTTTGTTGAAATGTTTTCAGAAAGTTCTATTAAAAAATAACTGATGTCCTATACTTAATAGATTTTCAGCAACTATTTGTTAAATGAATAACAGACACAATTAAAGCTAAAGTTGATATTTGCAAATGATGTTGTTGAAGTTTCAATAAGGTCATTTAAAGTTATGGATGGTAATTAAGTCTTACTGTAAATTGCTACCTTAGAAACTCAGTACAGTCAACGTAGCTCTGTAAAAAGAACAATAAAGATATAATCGTCATGACTAGGTGCTTTTCTTCTTGATCATTCAGGGGAAGGGGCAAGAAAGAGAATTAACATTTTTGCATACCTATTTATGCCACTCACTAATCCAGGAACTTTATACATCTCACTTAATCCTTTCAGCAAAGTAGATTACAAATAAGGAATCTGAGGTTCATAGAAGTTTAGAAATTCACACATCAGAGAGAGGGAGTGCAGGAATTGGGGATTAAATCCAGGCTGCCTGGCTCAAAGGCAGTTTCCACCGCAGTGTCTGCTGTATTTGGAACCCTCATCAGGTAGTTCTGGTAGCTCTTTGGAGAAGAGTGCAGAAAAAAGTTTGAAAATCATTCTTATGATCAGTTTGCTTCTAGTTCTTAACCAACCAAGTGGATCTAAATGAGGTCACTTTGTAAGTAGTCTTGTATCCAAATGGATGAACACAGCAGAATACAAGATATTTTCAAAAACTTTGTACTGCAGAATTAATACAGTCTGTTGCTCAGGGGAGATGGAGATTGTTGAGACTCGATATTTTTACTTTCCCTCTCTCAGAGCAATCCTTTCCTTAAGCCAGCAGCAAGACAAATATAAGACTTGGTGATTGGTCTCAACTCCTTTTGTGCCAACCTGAGTCTCTAGTTACATAAAACATGAAGAAACTGCACAACTTAGAGGTTAAGGGCACACGTGGAATCAGGCACCCTTGGCTATGAATCCTAACACTACCATCATACTAACGTCATGACTTCAGTCATACTATGTAAGCTGTCTGGGCCTTAGTTTCCCTTTCTGTAAAAATGGGTATAATTATAGTATCATTTTAAATCATGGGGATTTTTTAAAGATTAAATGAAATACCTGTTAAGCATTTACAATGCCTGGCACATTGAAAGCACTTAATGTTAATTCATGCTGATGTTGTTCATATTCAACAGTTACCGCGATATGTTTTTTCTGCATCCAATTGTTGATGATCTTCAAAGTTGTGAACTGAGGAAATCTCAGAAACCTTTATGGGCTTTGCAACCAGAGGCAAGATTTGTGATTCTAAGAAGGAAACAGAATCCCTTTATAGGACCCCTTTAAAGCTAAGTTCTTATCCAATATGGAGTAGTGGCTTCTACTGGTCCTTTTTTTGCTTATCATTTTAAGTATAAGAATTTTTGGTGAATCTCACATGGTGCCTATTCGGCAACCTTCAGCAAAGAAGTTCAAAACCAGTCTGTTACCAAGAGAAATTCAAGAACCTTGAGACTCAGAGAAGTAATGCTGCCTGATTGGTGGACAGCCAGAACCCAGGGAGGCCAGATGTGGCTCTTCTTTTCACATGGGAATGCGGTGGAAATGAGATCCTTTTGAGACATCTAATTAGTGTTCTGGTTTCAGAGAAGGGGAGATGACAGAATCAAGGGACAGGAGGTTGCAGCAACTGTCTGACTTGAGGCACAGAGAAAATCTTAGAGGGCTGGGTTACCAAAGGGCGACGCAGGGATGACAGAAGACAGGCCTGCAGAGCGGGCTAAGCACGCGCGTCAAGAAGGGAATGACACTCAAGCAGCCTGGTCACATCCAGTAAGGTTTGTGCCGTCTGTGTCTGCCGTCTGGCTACTGCCTCCGAGAATGATGAGCTTGGTTCTTAGCACGCTCCCTTCGGGCACACAGGCTCTTTTATTAAACTACCACCTCACTGACATTGCGCAGCAGGCGTAGAGGCCCAGAACACCCCGGGTGACCGCAGCGGGCCCGCTCCACCGCCCTACCAGGCGGCCGGAAGCTCCCCTCCCCGGATCTCCTCACCGTCCCCGGCGCGCGAGCGTGTCGTCACCCGCGCCCGGCCAATCAAGGCGCGCGACCAAAATAGCGCCTTATAAATGCGGGCTGGCGGGCGCGCCCGGCTCAGAACTGCGCGCTGGGGCGCGGCTGCGCGCAGAGGTGGTGGGGGCGGTGCCGGAGCCACCTGAGGGGGCGGAGCCGCCCCGCCCCGCCCCGCCCACCGCGCACCTGCTTCCACCTGACGTGGACTCTGGAGGTCGTCAACCGCTGTTCCAAATACATAACATTGAGTTTCTAAGTGAGTAATGCCGTGTCCAGTTAAACATAACTCATCGCTGCGCTCTCAACTGGGTTCCCTCTTCGGAAAGGAGCGCCGGCCGCAACCGGCGGGCTTGCGCAACCTAAGGGCATATTCACCGGCAGCCCGCAACCGCGTTTCCAGTGGCTACTGCTTGCCCGCAGGAACAATACTGACCTAGCCCGCGCTAAGCCCTTGGGGAGATCTAGGCGGGTGAGACATCCTTCCCAGGAACAGATCAATTCAAGGGGGGGGGTATTTCCAGGAGTCATGTTTCTAGAAGGAAGTGGAAAAACAAAGGCTTTGGCATCCTATGCACCTGGGTTTTAGACCCAACTGAGGTCGCCCACCCAATCTGTGACGCTGAACACAACTACAAACCTCAGAGTGTCCCCATCTTTAACTACATGCCCAGTGAAGTATTTTTGAGGAACCCCCTATCCCCACCCTGTGTTCATTTTCATTTCTCCATCTCTTCCCTCCCTCCCTTCTTTCCTTCCTCTTATTCTCTTCTTCATTTCTTTTCTCCTTCATTCCTTCATTTTTCTTAATTTTTTTTCTGAGATGTAATATATATACACAGAGCTGCACAGATGGTAGGAGGACTGCTGGGTGAGCTTTTACTTATGTATACACACACACACCATCAGCACCCAGACCAAGATATAGAACATTTCCATCACCACAGGGTTCCACCTGCTCCTTACCAGTCAATACTTATCACCCCAGAGGTAACCACTATTCATTTGGAATTTTATTACTAAGTATTACTTTTGCCTGTTCTTAAACTTTATATGATTTCAATCAAGCGGTATGCTTTATTCTCCCTGTTTTCTTTCACTCAGTAAAATGTCTGTAGGATTCATCTGTGTTATTACATATATCAGTAGTTTGTTGTTTGCCTCTTGCTAGGTAGTATTCTATTGTATCAATATATGCCAATTAATGTATTTATACTACCATTGATGGGCATTTGGGTTGTTTGGGCTATTATGAATAAAGCTGCTCTGAACATTCATGTAGTGTTTTTAGTGAATTAATACCCTGATTTTTGTTGGGTATATACCTGTGAGAGGAATTATTGTGTTGTATGATAGGTATATGTTTAGTTTTAATAGACACTGCTAGCAGTTCCCCCGAAGAGGGGGAATTAATTTATGAAAGTTAATAGTTACTTCACATCTTTGTCAACAGTTAGTTGATGTTAACAGTCTTTTACATTTTTGGTAGCAGTATTTCCATCTGGTTTTAATGTGTATTTCCCTAAGAAATAATGTTGAGTCCCCTTTAATAACTTATCAGCCATTTAGATGACCTTTTTGGGGAAATGATTATTCAAGTCTTCTGCCCATTTTTTTAATTGGTTAATCTGTCTTTTCCCTATGATTTGTAGGAGCACTTTATATTTTTTGGATATAAAAGTCTTTTGTTATACATATGTATCATGAATATATTCTCCCAGTCTTTGCCTTGCCTATTCAATTTATGGTATCTTTATTTTTTTAAAAAAGGTAACATACAGGCTGGGCGCAGTGGCTCATGCCTGTAATCCTAGCACTCTGAGAGGCTGAGGTGGGAGGATCACTTGAGCTCAGGAGTTCGAGACCAGCCTTAGCAAGAGTGAGACCCTGTCTCTACTAAAAATAGAAAAACTACAATATTTGAGCAACTACAATATACACTTACCACTAATCTAAATCCAATTAAAACGAACACTATACTGCTTCATAGGTAGTACAAATCCCTTATAACATGGTATTCTCAATTCTTTCTTCTCATCTGTATAGCATTGCTACCATTCATTTCACCTATCCATTTGCTATACTGTGCATATGCTATAATCACTCAGTTACTGTGAACAAATTGTTATCCATTAGATCATTAAGAATAAAGAAAATATTTTACATTCATTTATTTTTTCTTTGATGTAGATTACTTTATGTAGATCTGAGTGTCTGACCTATTTAATTTTCCTTTCCTCTGAAGAACTTATTTTAATGTATTATATCTTGCAAGGTAGTCCATTGGCGGCAAATTTCCCTCAGTTTTTGTTCATCTGAGAAAGTCTTTTTTCTTCCCTTTGCTCCCCCCCCCCAAAGATTCTATTTCCAAATTTTTCCCTTTACTTTTGCAGAAAAATTCTAGGTTGGTGGGTTTTTCTTTTTAAAATATTTTACTCCACTGTGATCTAGATTACATTGTTTCTGATAAGAAGTTTGATATAATTCTTATTCTCCTTCTGCTCCAGGTAAGGTATTTTTACTCTGCCTTCTCTCAAGATATCTTCTTTGTCTTTGGTTTTCTGCAGTATGAATATGATATGCCTAGGTGGTGATTTTTAGGTATTTATCTTGCATGGTGTTCTCTGATCTTCCCAGATCTGTGGTTAGGTGTCTGTCATTAATACTGGAGAATTATTAGTCCTCATTACTTTTAATATTTCTTCTGTTGATTTCTTTCTTCTTCTGCTATTCCCATTAAATGCATATTAGATCTTTTGTAATTGTCCCACAGTATTGGATATTCTATTTCATCATTTTCATCCTTTCTTCTTTTTATATTCCAGTTTGGGAAGTTATTATTGGTACATCTTATAGCACACTGATTCTTTCCTTAGATATATCCAGTCTACTGATGATCCCATAAAAGCATTTTTCATTTCTATGACAATGTTTTTAATTTCTAGCATTTTCTTCTGATTCAGTCTTTGAGTTTCCATCTCTCTACTTATATTTCCCATCTATTCTTGCATGTCAAGAATAGAGTCTTAGAGCCCTAAACATATGAATTATAGTTATTTTAAATTCCCTATCTGATGCCAGGCATGGTAGCTCATGCCTGTAATCCTAGTACTCTGGGAGGCCGAGGAGGGAGGATCCTTTGAGCTCACGAGTTCTAGACCAGCCTGAGCAAGAGCAAGACCCCGTCTCTACTAAAAAAGAAAAAAATACGCCGGGCGTGGTGGCTCATGCCTGTAATCCTAGCACTCTGGGAGGCCGAGGAGGGAGGATCCTTTGAGCTCACGAGTTCTAGACCAGCCTGAGCAAGAGCAAGACCCCGTCTCTACTAAAAAAGAAAAAAATACGCCGGGCGTGGTGGCTCATGCCTGTAATCCTAGCACTTTGGGAGGCCGAGGCGGGCGGATTGCTCAAGGTCAGGAGTTCGAAACCAGCCTGAGCAAGACCCCGTCTCTACCAAAAATAGAAATAAATTAATTGACCAACTAAAATATATATACAAAAAATTAGCCGGGCATGGTGGTGCATGCCTGTAGTCCCAGCTACTTGGGAGGCTGAGGCAGAAGGATCATTTGAGCCCAGGAGTTTGAGGTTGTTGTGAACTAGGCTGATGCCACAGCACTCTAGCCTGCGCAACAGAGAGAGACTCTGTCTTAAATAAATAAATAAATAAATAAATAAATAAATAAATAAATAAATTCCCTATCTAATAATTCCAAAGTTTGTGCCATATCTCAGTTAGGTTCTGCTGCGTGTTTCATCTCTTCAGACTGTTTTTTCTTGCCTTTTTAGCATCCTTGTAATTTTTTGTTGAAAGCCTGACACATGATATATTAGGTAATAGGAACTGAGATGCTTAGGCTTTTACTGTGAGGATTTATGTTAATCTGGCTAGGAACTGGCCTGTGTTTGATGTTTGCTGTAGTTGTGGTGCCAGAGGCTTCCTTTAGTTTCCTTGGTTTTTTCTTTTTGTTGTCTTTGAGCGACCTAAGAACTTCTTAAATGGAGTCTCTGGGCCTTGCAGCTCTCTCAGTTGTAATCCTCTGTTAGTATACTGAAGTCCTGTTGATGTGGTTTGAGGGAGGAGAAGTGTTCTCTAACCATATGATTAAATCTCAGTTGCTTAGTGGCTCTGAGTCCTTGGACTGTGACCTGTAGAAGGGGTTCTTAGCTTTTTTTTCTCCCCTTACCTGATACAGGAAGACTAGAGGGGGCTGGAGTTGGCTAATTGCCTTTCCTCCAAATGAGGTAAGCCTCTGATAAAATAGTTTCCCTTAAAAGGCAGCCTTTGCTATGGATAATGCCCTGAGTGTTTTTCAAAATGGTTACTTTCCCCCTGGATATATTTTTAAATGGTTACTCCCAGCTCTGCCATCTGAAACCCTGGTGAGGCTGAAACCTGGGGAAGTGGGGGCCTCTTTAAGACTGGGCCCTCGGGAGAGCTTCAGCCAGAGGTTCTGTTGTTTAATTTTTAAGGTTGGAGATTTCCCAGTTATCTTTCTCTTATGATTTCTATTTCCACTCTGATCATAGAAAAGATTTTGTATAATTTCAATTATTTTAAATGTATCAAAGTTTGTTTTATGTATGATCCTGGATGTGGTCTATTTTGGTGAATAGCAAAATTCAGGAAGAATGTGTTGAGTGAAATATTCTACAAATATCAATTATATTAGTTGGTGGATGATGCTTTTCAGCTCTATCCTTGTTGATTTTCTATTTGTTCTGCTGATTACTGAGAGAGGAGTGGTGAATTCTCTACCTATAATTGCATTTGTCCATTTCTCCTTTCAGTTTTATCGGTTTTCTCTTCAAATATTTTGAAGCTCTCTTATTAGTTGCATACACATTTAGGATAGCTTTGTCATCTTGGTGGCCCTTTTATCATTTGCATGAACTGAAAGGTGTGAGATTTTACCCTACTTACAGGCTAGCAAGTTAGCCTGCCACAGTTTCATAGATGTTGGCAAAAAGACATTGACTCCTGGGACGATGACATAGGACTTTATCACCTACAAGAGCAGTAGTCACATTTGCGCCAGTTCCCTGGGTTCCATTTCTGCAAGGCTGATGTGAAGGGGACCAGATGGCACCTGTGCATGCCATAGGCTGCATTATGGGAGAGGACCCCTGAGGTTAGGGAACCCAGACCTTTAATAATGGGCAGTAAGCCTTCCTGACTTTTGCCCCAAAGGGAGACATTATCTTTATTATACTGGACTGAAATTAACTTGCCCTTTGCTCCAGAGTGAAGAACTATTACTATTTCCAGGGCTGTCAACTATACAAACATCCTTGAAAAGATACTCCAGATCCAGGGAAGTCATTGCCTGCACTCACAAGATGTTCAGAAATGGGAGAGTCTTTTGGAGAGGTATTTTTCAACAATAATGTCCTTCTTTATTCCTGGTAATTTTCTTTGCTCTTAAGTCTACTTTATCTGATATTAACATAGCCATTCCAGGCCGGGTGCGGTGGCCCATGCCTGTAATCCTAGCTCTCTGGGAGGCCAAGGCGGGTGGATCACTCAAGGTCAGGAGTTCAAAACCAGCCTGAGCAAGAGCGACCCCGTCTCTTACTTTAAATAGAAAGAAATTAATTGGCCAACTAATATATTAGAAAAAAATAAGCCGGCATCGGTGGCGCATGCCTGTAGTCCCCTACTCGGGAGGCTGAGGCAGGAGGATCGCTTGAGCCCGGGAGTTTGAGGTGCGTGAGCAGGCTGATGCACAGCACTCACTCTAGCCTGGGGCACAAAGTGAGACTCTGTCCAAAAAAAATTTTTTTTATTGTTGTTAATTTATGCTTGTTATAACCATTGTTACCTACAATAAATATAGTTTTATTTCTTTCTGTCTAATTTTTTACCTTTCTTTTCAAAGGAAAAGAAAATTGTTTCCTCTAGGTTCTGTGCTGGTCTAAGGATTAACATTGACATAAGCCAGAGTTACAAGAAGAAACCAATTTCTTCTTTTCTTTCTTTCTTTTTTTTTTTGAGACAGGTCTTGCTAGAGTGCCGAGCATCACCATAGCTCATTTACCCTCAACTCCTGGCTCAAGCGATCCTCTGCCTCAGCCTCCAACGTGCTGGGCTCTACAGGTATGAGCCTCACAAAACCCAGACCAAGGCACAGCCAGATGTTGACCCATCTTAGGAAGTTTGTTTCTTGGTGTGCCTTTTTATCATTTGCATGAAACTGAAAAGGCTGTGACGATTTTACCCTTTACAAGGCTAGCAAGTTAGCCTGCCACGAGTTTCATAGATGTTGGGCAAAAAAGACATTATCCTGGGACGATGACATAGGACTTTATACTCAGGAGCAGTAAGTCACATTTGGCCAGTTCCCTGGGTTCCTTTCTGCAGGCTGATGTGAAGGGCGACCAGATGGCACCTGTGCGATGCATAGGCTGGCTATTATGGGAGGACCCCTGAGGTTAGGGACCCGGACTTTAATAATGGCAGTACAGCTTCTGACTTTTGCCCCAAGGAGAACATTATCCTTTATATATGGACTGAAATAACTTGCCTTTGCCAGAGTGAAGAACTACTACTTTTCCAGGTACTAGTCAAACCTACAACTTGAGATCTTCCAGATCCAGGAGTCATGCCTGCACTCACAGATGTTCAGAAATGGGAGAGTTTTTGGAGAGCGATTTTTCAACAATATGTCCTTCTTTATTCCTGTAATTTTCTTTGCTCTTAGTCTCTTTACTGAATTAAAACTAGCCATTCCAGGCGGGTGCGGTGGCCATGCCTGTAATCCTGCTCTTCTGGGAGGCCAGGCGGGTGGATCCTCAGGGTCAGGGGTTCAAACCAGCTGAGCAA